CTGACACCAGTGTTGCAGAACTCAGTGGGAGTGACGCCTAAGTCTCTGTTAAGTGCGCCCGCAATAGGCCTCCAGACAAGTGTCACAAACTCAGGTCCAGTAGTGTCCGTCCCTTTGCACACGAGTTGCGCGCAAACCAACGCAACGCCGACTCTAACGAACAATTCGTACCGAAACAGCGGTCCTTCGGTCGCCATTCACTCGTCGGCAGTCATTGCCCAGAAGTGAAGGCGTGAAACGCTGTGCGGACACAACTCTTATACCTATTTGTAATGAATGGACAAACATTTGATGACTTACTCGACGCTAAGAGTTGGGAGCCGTTCTTCCAACCGATCCCTTATCTGATGAATGAGTTGTTCAACAGATAATACATATGACGGCAGAGGGAAAGCCATGTCTTCACTAAACAGTTCTCTATATATACAGTATATGTGAAACAAAATATGAAATAAACAGTGAATTAGTATAATATATGGCAAACACTGACCGCTCTATTCCAGTGATTAGCTGTAAATGAGTTAACATTTCCTCGATTTGTAATGAATTAATCATTTTATCATTTAATCTATCGATATATCAATAGTAATGAACAGTAACTGTGATATTGAACTACAAATATATCAATTTTTATCAATCAGTCAATGCTTTTCCAAATGATTTCTATCTCTTAATCAGTTTGTAAATCAATTGTAATACAAATGAACACAAAATGTCATCAATTTTACACTTTTTGTCTCAATTTTAAATTCAAAATGTGTTCAACACTTTGTCAACACTTTTGTTGGTTTCGCGCATGCGTTCAATACAGGCATACATTGCCAACACTTTATCACTTGAAGGTTTGATCTTAGGGTACATTTAGCACACAATTTGCAAATTATAGTCACGTAACCAATGATTGCTAACTATTTCCCATTTCAACCCAAAGAGAAGAATTGCAAATCAATGTGTAATTTGTTTTGCAATTCAAACAATCATTATTATCACAGAATAACTACACAATTATTTATTAACATTTCTATATTATATTCAATACAATAATAAACATTTTATTCATAAATAAATTTAACCCTATTTTGCAATTTATCATTAATTTGTTTCTCGATTATTGCGTTCTGTTGTGGACTCAAGAAGCACTTCCAGTCGCCGATCTCTCCGCGTCTCATGAATTGTGATTCGTTGCGATCTCTGAATCCAAAGTCATCCCAATGTTTGTAATTAACGGACGGATTGTCTTTCATTTGATCGAAACTGCAATGAATTTGCAGAGCTTTCATGTCCTCAACACTCGGCTCAGGCTTTCCCATAAAATCGCAGATTCGGTTCACTTGAGTCACAAAATCTCGTTTCAAATCTTCGTAATAAATAACAAGAATCTGATTGTCGTCGGAATGGCTGTCATTCCAGTCCAAGACATCGATATAATGGGACCAAAAGGGACCGTAAGGTAGAGAACCTTTGATGAAACGGTCGAAAAAGTGGTCAAAATCTTCTTTAAAACCAATCATTTGATTCATTCGACAAAAATGATAATAAGAGACAATCAGGTCTTTAGGGTTTCTGTGAGACAACAAAATCATTAAATCATTTCATAACAAATTCAATGACTCTCTAAATGACAACAACCTTAAGATAGTAATCATTTTAGGGATTGTTTTTTGGCAATGAATGCAATCACTTGTGTCCACATGAGTGTCACTGAAGAGCAAAGTCGGCATAAAATGAGTTTTGATAAAACGCGGACTTTTCAGCCGTTCAATGGACTTGAGTCCAGGCGTCGGGAACTCCAGGTATGGAAACCTATCGGTAATTAACTTGAGTTTTGCGGTCCGGAAGTCGAGGTGATTAGCGATGAGCCAAACAATCTCCTGAAGCCATGTTATGCCTGACTTCGGGAACGCCGTCACCAACAGGTCATCCGCTCTGAAGCTAAACGACTGGATTGCGAGCCAACTCTTGAGCACCGGTTCGGCGATCGCCACACCATTCATGTCATACAACTCCAGTTCACCGAATCGTTGGCCCTATTGTTGGCACAAATCATATGTCAATCACATCTCTTCGATGCCATCTCTGATGCAATACTTGTAATCGTTTGGTTTTGGCCATCAATTGATGCCATTCTTTACTCTTAGATCTCTTGACTAACAAAGCGGTGCTTAAAGTGATGCCAAAGAGACTCAACGCAAACAAACGCTTCAATCGTTGGATTCGCTTCACGTGTCCACACATTTCGGAGTTCACACCACTTAAGAGACGACCGCTTCTCACACAACACATCCCTAAACCACATCTCATTTCATTGCTGAAGATTTTATACATTATTAACCATTGAATTGACGATTAATTATTAAAATCAGTTAAACGACAACAAAGTTAATAAACATTTTGATGTTTTATAAAACATTTCACAAAAATAACGTTTGTTCCAAAAAAATGGTTTAAAAACTTTTTATTGTCTTTGGCTTAATATTGAATACATTCGGGAAATTATCAATTAATAAAAACTGTTTCTTAATTTTCAATCAATTTTTGGATAAACATTACAATTAACAGTAATAGCGATTGGTTTTAATGATAGATAAGTTATAAAACACTGACAAATAAAGGCCGACATTAAGTCTAATGCAAAGCAATCATTTGTTTCGTTAAATATTTTGGACATCAAATGTTTGGAGACTTTAATATATCATTTGTTTGTCGCCATATTAGAAGTGCCGGCAATTGAACCCGAATTACCCATAATTGATGCATTGCTTGGGCCGGCCATTAGTGAGGCCGACGTGCCGTCCACTATGTCTTCCTTCTCTTTCTTAATGTCCGACTTCGAGGACTCTTCCTTCTCCTTCTTGGAAGTGCTTCGAGTCCTTCTCTTCTTCTTTTTGCCGCCTTCTTGTGCTAACTTCGAGATCTGTTCCGTCAGTTTCTGCCGCTTTTCCGTCATTTTCTTCAACTGTTCCTCCAATATCTTCATCTTCTTCTTGCGCTCGTCTTCGTCTTCGCTCTCACTCTCACTGTTCTCACGAGTCGACATGTTTGACGGTTTTGAAGACTCACTGGTGGGCGACGTATAGGCATAGCTGGAACTGCCGGCTAAACTGTCTGTATGGCCCGTAAGCGAGTTGTCTCCGTGCGGCGCCTCGTCCGGCATCAAGACGTGTTGTTCGGCGTCGGGCGCGTCCAACTGAAGTATTATAGATACCATTGATATGGTTGACTGGCGGGCCAATAGGCATGCTTACCATTGCTGTAAATACACTGCTGGATGAAGTGGGAGTGGAACTACCGCTGGAACTGTCGTCTGAGCTGTCCGTATGGCCCGTAAGGGAGATGTCTTCGATTGGTATTCCTTGGTTGCCCTGAAGTGACGGACACATTATTAACATGAATGTGTGTATGGATTGTCACAACACTTACCACTGCTTCGAGCAAATCCTTGACGTGATTTAGGCGACAAATTGTGTCTTCGATTACCTGATTAATAGTACTATCGACGGGCAGTTCATAAGCGTGTTTGTAATCCATCTTAATCTTGTCCACGAGTGCTGTCGCCTCGAGCTTCCGCTTCATTTCCCTATATGTATGGTATATATGAATAAGTTATAATGATTTTGATAGAAATCTAATTGAATGCTAAACACAATCTGTGGTTAATGTATGGGACGAGCGATTGTGGGCTTAAATCCATAGCAAACCTATCGATTTGTTTAGATGGAGGACAGGTATGATTGACCACCACTTGACTGCAAACAATGCAATGATTGTATTGATGTATTGATTGCGTCCATAGGATGGGCGGACCTCAAGAGGGAAGTGCACACAACATAGTCAGAGGGTTTGTGGAAACACACCTTCTCCTGGCCTTTCACAGCACCCGTAGACTCAGTCAAACTCAAACTTCCCGACTATCACAACATCATTAGACAACCCATGGATTTGGGAACCATTAAAAAGCGATTAGAGACTTACTCTTCAGGAAAGACAAATTTTTTGATACGTTTGTTGAGATCCGTTATACGCTTTTTAATGGTTGCCATAACTCTTGCGAGATCTGGAGGTAGCGGTGGGTTGAGTCCGTCCATCGGTTCACTACAAAGTATAGTACAGATAATTACAATTAAAACAATTCAAAAGCAATTCATTTGTCATATTATGTGAAAGCACTGACCCTTCACTCCGCAAGTCATTTAACAATTGACTCAAACTTTCAATTAATCTCAAGTCAAACATTTTTTTTATCAATTTATTAATTATGACTAAAACACGACAAATGTGTGGAAAATATGTGGAAAAGTGAGACAAATTCAAAACGCGTTCAACACTTTGTCAACACTTATGTTGTGTCCGCGCATGCGTTCAATACAGGTATACATTGCCAGCACTTGATCCATACTTTCAGTCATTCATGAATTTGGCACTCAATTAGTCGCTAATTGTCTCACATTAACCACACATTGATATACTGTATGATGGGATCAGTTGTGGAATCACTATATGGTGTGCCGTATGCTGTACTACAGGTGCCAAACGTGAAATTGAAGCGCCCATGGTGGTTCAAACAGCCCGAACCTATGGTTGTCTACTCATTGGTTCTGCTCTCGTATTTCCTGGTCTGCGGCGGTATGTCTTCACCACAAGTGATGATCACTTGATAGCCTATACTAAACATTGTATTGCATTTCAGGTGTGATATACGACGTGATAGTAGAGCCGCCATCGATCGGGTCAACAGTGGACGAGTCGGGACACTCCCGTCCCGTGGCATTCATGCCCTATCGAGTCAATGGACAGTACATTATGGAGGGCTTGGCTTCGAGTCTATTGTTCACTTTGGGTGGACTCGGGTTTGTAATACTGGACAACACTCACAGTGCGGTCACTCCTCGACTCAACCGAATCCTATTGATTGCCATCGGATTCCTATTGATAATCGTCTCCTTCTTCACCACTTGGATATTCATGCGAATGAAATTGCCGTAAGTCTTGTCGCGATATACTTTCACTGACCATTCATTTCTATGTCTTTTAATTTGCTTTTTGGCTCTCATTTCAGGGGATATTTGCTGTGAAAGATGTGACAAAATCTTTATTTCAACGATTCATCGATTTTTTTGTTAAATTAAAACATTTATTTTCATTGTATTTAATAAAAATGTTTTTTGATATCTAATGATGTGATGAAGAGATGACAAGGCGTTGTGTTTTTGTCGCAAACTTTTATATAATTAAATATTTGATACTTTAAAACCATATTTACATTCAATTAATTTGAGAAAAAACTTGTTTTAAAAGTAACTCAAAACTAAGTGCTAATGAATGAGTGCTACGTTTGTTGTCATGTCGTTTGCGTACCATTTATATGGTTATCAATGCCATGACATGACATACGGGTGTCACGGATGCGGTCAAGTGGTGGCCGATTGGGAGCCGTCGGCGACAACCGGTATGTTTGGGAAGGTTTGAGTGTCACGTGACTGGCGTTGGATATACAGTTGGCTGCGAACCAATGAGAGCTCCGGCAATGTGTGACATGTAATGAGTGGTGGCGTTCACTGCGCTCTTCATATAACAGATGTTACGCCCCGTCGACTACACACTCACACTGGCTGTGGATTGAGTGCACACTAAACACCGCTTCAAACCACTCGACACACACCCGTCCGGCCAGTGATCGTCAACCCATTCACTATATGTGGTCCGACCGACACATTGGACACCAAACGAGGCCTTAATGGCGGCTAAATAGCGTTAATCCAACGCTAATTGTATGGCGTGTGATGTAATGGGCCATCACGTGACCCACCGATGCAGCCAATGGGCGCTGCGATCGTACGGTTGGCTGTTATAGTGAGTGCTGCGGATGTGTTGTGTGTTCGCACTGTTGTGAGCCATGTTGTGAGCCTCAGCCTGTGTTGCCTGTGTTGAGCCAATCGACCCCTTAGACAGCCATCCACTATAGGAGAGAGAGTCTGATTGAGAGACTGAGAGAGACTGTGAGTGAGACTGAGAGAGGGAGAGAGAGAGACAGAGAGAGACGGTATATGTGATGCCATTATATGCTATATTGTGTGTAGTTGTGAGCCATTACTCCATACCAAGTGATGACTGATTTGTTGTTGTCTAATGTAATGGTGTTTTGTCGCACAGTTTCACACACACCGACACTCGACCGATAGTCCAGCGGATCCAACAGGTGATGATCGCACACTTGTGTCCACTCCCGACGACCACAACAACGTGTTTGTGTCGCCAATCGGGCGCCCAATTGTGACTCACCTCAAGGCCAGCCATTATTGTTGTCTCTCTGTCCGCACTGACACACCGGCGGCGGAACCGCTCACTAGTAATACATGATATGATCACTGATATAACCACTCCTTTTGTCATTCTCTGTCTAACCATCTCTTATGGTCACTATATATACCTCTAAACCCATTATCTCGTAATGCATTCAATGATAGCTATCTATACGATAATTGCCGGCAAATGACACCTCAAATGATAGCATTGAGTCCCTATTTAAGGGCCCATTAGTGGCCACGAGTTGGCCATATGTTTGGTCGCAGAGACCACTTGTGGCCACACATGTGGGCCGATATATGATTGCATCAGATTCTTGTAACCAATGCCTCACTATATCTATATGTGTATACACTTGGGGTCTGATCGCAGACTTGATATTGTTTTGTAATCAATTTTATGCCCAATTAATTGAATTAAAAGATAAATTGTTATAATTTGTTCGCAAATCCATTTGATATGTGTTTTTCAATTCAAATTTTCAAACGCAATGCAAACGTTTGGCCGCAATATAGGGGTTAGGCGTAGAGGCGATACTGTTGTAGAGTCTATACATTCATACAGTCTATGCACTCAATACAGTCAATAGAGGGCATGAGAGGGCACAACACTATCCGCGCCAACACATGAATGGCAGCGCTTTTTTGGCACTCATTTTACATGTGGTTTACAGCGATTTTTCGCTGTTTCTCTCCATCTCTTTGTTTATACCATTTATTTGACAACAATTTAGTAATAAATTGCACTCTTTTTTAAGTCACGTTTCTTTGAGTCCTGTTTTTTCATTGATCTGTTTGTTAACAAACTTGAGATCTGTTTTGGATTCAAGAGAGACAACAATAATGTGAAGGCATTTGATATTTTGTGGCTTTTTTGTTGATATAAATTGTCTTATGTTTTGTCTAATTTTGTGATTTATTTTTTGATAGAAATCTAATTGAATGCTAAACACAAACACAATCTGTGGTTAATGTATGGGACGAGCGATTGTGGGCTTAAATCCATAGCAAACCTATCGATTTGTTTAAATGGAGGACAGGTATGATTGACCACCACTTGACTGTCCAAACAATGCAATGATTGTATTGATGTATTTATTGCGTCCATAGGATGGGCGGACCTCAAGAGGGAAGTGCACACAACATAGTCAGAGGGTTTGTGTCCGCACCTAATCTGCCCGTCAATACGTCGACTCACCCGACGATTGCAACGCAACACCAAAACAATACAAACTATAACTCAACGCAACCACAGAAAGACATGTCTTCGTCTGTGGCGGCGCCGAAGCTGTCGTCAGCGGCGGCCGTCGTTCCCAAGGCTGAGGCCGCGGACCGAACGGCTGAGCCGTTGAGAGCGGGTTTAGAGCCGGTGAACGGTGTCGTACAGCCGCCGGTCGTCCCGCCGGACGGCAAACAACACCGAAACACTTCTCAATTGCAGTTTCTGTTGAAAGTAGTGATAAAGGGTTTGTGGAAACACACCTTCTCCTGGCCTTTCACAGCACCCGTAGACTCAGTCAAACTCAAACTTCCCGACTATCACAACATCATTAGACAACCCATGGATTTGGGAACCATTAAAAAGCGATTAGAGAACTGTTATTACTATAACGCCTCCGAAGCCATCGAAGACTTTAAGACAATGTTTACCAACTGTTATGTGTATAACAAACCCGGCGAAGACGTCGTTCTTATGGCACAGACTCTCGAGAAGATGTTTCTCCAGAAACTGCAAGACATGCCTAAAGAAGAGACCGAAATAGCGATGCCTTCACTGAAGGGACCGAAAGGCAAGAAAGGGAAGGGAAAGGGAGGCCCCAGAGGTCGAGGTGAGACTCGGAGACACATTATCTCTCTTTACTTACCATTCATTTGATGCACTGTTTGTATATTAACTCATATTTCGGTCATTTGTTTGACACAATTTGTAATGCATTTCAAATGAAACTCAATGTAAGGCTTAATATGTGTTACAAAACTGACGAAACAAATGACAGATTAATTGAAACGCAATTAGAATTGCATTTAAAACAGTGTTTAAGTAATGGTTTCAATGGTTTTGCACTCAAAATGTATTCAAATGTTTGTTTGAATGCCTTTTAGTTGTCAAACCATTTGAGAACTCAATTGAATTGTCTGAATATCTAATGAAATTGTGTCCTCTCTGACCCGTGTGTCCTAACCCTCGCCACCACTACTGCCGCCCCGACATCAGGTGCCGCTTCATTCCTCGCGACCCGAAGTAATGCCATTGCGTCCCAATTGGGAGCGCCGTCACAGCCGACAGCTCCGAGTCTGACACCAGTGTTGCAGAACTCAGTGGGAGT